TAAGAAAAGTGTAAGAAAGGGGGGGGGGTCAAAAAGTCCCCAAAAAAGTGTAAGATTATATTTGAACGGCCCCAAAGCTTCTGCAGTCCTCACGCTAGTTCCAGCAACATTCAACCAAAAGACTGCTAAGTCACGTCACGGCATCTAGAAAAGGAACATAATATATATGTGTAAACAAACTAAATTTATAATTTGTGTAGAACTGATAGTAAAACGTGGGTGGGGAAAAGGTAGAAGACCAACAAGAGCTTGCAGAGAAAACGTCCTGCTAGTTTTCATAAGTATTGTGTTAAGTGTTCCCTACTGGTACAATTTACACTCTTTAATTTCGATAGCTTTTGTTAACCCTATAAAACTGAAAAGGGAGACAGCATAGAAATTCATCTAGCTCAACATGGACCTTATCAAACTGTTTTCACGTTCTAACTTTTTTCAGTTTACAGCCTCTGGGCTCCTGATTCTTTTACAGCCTTTCTACAGCTACTCCTTGGCTTCTTCTTACTGCTGTCTTTCAGCCACACCCTTGATCTTCTGGTAGGAAAGATCTGCACCTAGCCTTCTCGGACAAGGGCGAAAAATCTCGCAAAATTCAAAATTTCCTACCAACTGAAAAAGTTTAATGTGTCCCGTCCTGTAAAAACACTAACAAAACCCCCCCAAAAAAACCAGTTTACCGTTTATTGTTTATGAGATTTGTTCGATAGATTATATAATATCGTTGTTCGCCCTTTCTTTCAACAGTTTTTCATGTTTTCATTTTTGATCTATCTTCATGTTTTATATTGTTGTTTTTGCTAGTCTGCGAGCTGCTTTTTGTCTTGGGGGTGCATGGTAAAAGGCAGCTGTGTTGGTAGGACAATAGAATGGCTCTTCTGCTTGCTCACAAAATAAATGAATTTGATTCCCACATGAATAAAATGTTTCAATATTTAGTCTAGCATATCTGCTCCTCAGCAAGGAGGGATCCCTTTTTTTCGCTTGATAGCCTTGCAGGAATAGATTAAATTCACAATGCTGGAGCGCTTTTTTTGGGTACAAAATCTAAAAGTGATATGTACGTCACAAAATTTGTCATTAAATCAAGGCAAGTCGTGAACCTATTTTGGTAGTTTTTCATCTGATGAATAAACTCCCGGTAAAACAGACCTGTTTTCAGCAATCGCCGAAAAGTAATTTGACGTCCAAGTCGTTGTAAAGGAATGTGCCCAAGCCACTACCAGTGGTTCCCCCGGCGCAGCTGTTCCCACCGCGACTCGCTGGAATTAACGGCTTGCCGGAGATAAAGAGTTGAGGAGCACTCTTAAGCTACCGTACTGAAATCGTGCCGAGTGGGCGAGAAAAGAATTTAATTTTTGTAGCTTTCATCTCAGCAAAAGGTAAGCTGAATACCATATGATTTTATATAAGTCATTAGGCCATTTAATTTAAGTAAATACCGCTTTGAAAGCGATACTGTTGAGATTTGCGCTTTGACTTGGAGTATAATGAGAATTCCATTGATTTATGAAGTAATCCGTATCGTTACCATGTTGTTCTCAAACAATATACTTTATGTTCAGTGTAAAGTTCTAAGTAAAATAGTAACGTTTAAGGTGTCAATATTTTTATCAAATAGTCTAGGAACAAGTGGTTGACAGACAGACAGACAGACAGACAGACAGACAGACAGACAGACAGACAGACAGAC